ATACACCTTTCTCAGCTCAGCTCTATTGAAGGTAACACTGTTGTCTCTGTTTTATAGGGGAGGCTCACAGAGGGCTGGGTCACTGGCCCAGGGGCTGTGGACCAGCCAGTACGTGAGGCTGATTTGAGCCAAGTCGTCTGAATCGTGTTAGACAATGGCTTCTGCCTGGAGCATTTTCACAGAGCACAGAGAGGGTTTGGCTGTGATTTCCATCTGTCCGAGGGCATTCAGGTGCCTTCTTTTCTTTATTCATCTTCACTCCCGTTTAGTCAACAAATATCTGTGTAGCCTGTGCTGAGAGTTTGGGGGTTGTGCTAGCTTCTGGGAGGATGTGAGGACTCAGGTGAGGTCCCAGGCCTGCATATTCCAATGGGGGAGGCATCGAGGCAACCCCAGAGGCCACACAGCGTGCGAAGCAACTTGGGGGATACTGGTACAGTGAGAAGAGGCAGTCAGGGACGGCTTCCTGGAGGAAGGGGTGTAAATTTTGCCAGTAGGAGTTAGCTGTGTAGAGGAGGGCCAGAAGGATTTTCTGGGGAGAGGGAATCGCTGGTGCGAAAGTTTGGAGATGTGAGACGCTGTGGCTTGATAGGTTTGGTAGACTTCGTGGCAGAGAGTATAGTATGTTTGTGTGTTTGTTAAGGGGCAGGGGAGTGGGTGGTGTTAAAATTAGAGGTCAGCGGGAGTTAAGCCACAACAGAGTCTCAGTGAGATGCCAGAGAACCTGGATTTTGCCCTGAGGCTGCTGCTGCCTAGTATGAAGTGTTAAGTCACAGAATGCAAAAGAGTTTTCCTCCCCACCCTCTGATGACTGGCCGTAGGGAGATTGATTGCATGGCCCAGAAGGCCTGAGCTACACCCTCTAAGAGAAGCCCTGATGCCCCAGAGAGATGGGGCCTGCTCTAATCCACAGGTGAGCGACCAGGCTGGGAAGGATGAAGGAGGAGCCTTTGGGAGAGGCAGGCCTGTCCCAGGGCTGACCGATCCCTCAAAGAGGCCTCCCAGCTAAAAGGCAGCAGGAGAGACCTCAGCCGGATCTGCCGGCTCTTGGTGGTCACTATTGCAGACACCTGCCAGCTTGAGCCGGGTGCTCATACCCACATCGGCTGCTACCTGCACCCCACTCAGGTTTGTTACCCCAGCCCTTGCTGCCCGGCCCTGCTCTCCTCTACTTACCACCTGTGTGACCTTGAGCAAGTGGCTTTCCATCTCTGGGGGCTGCCAGCTTTGCATGGCCTTATCATGTTGCACGTAGACCTCAGGAAAGATCAGAGATGCCCACAGGTGACAAATCTTCCTGGACTGGGTGTTTTGAGGGTGGCATTACGGAGCCCCAGAGTGGGGTTTGCATATAGTACTCTGTGTTTGCAGGGTGGCTCCCCGCCTCTGGTCTCTGTATTATGTCCTCATTTCACTGCTGAGGCAGCAGAGGCTCAGAGAGGTGAAGCAGCTTGCCCAGGGTTACACAGCTCTGCCGGGGCAGAATTCAGATGAGGAATGCTGACTCTGTAGGTCCAAGACCGCCCCTCCCATGGCTGTATCTTGGTGTTCCATCGGGGACAGTCACTGCAGCTCTCAGCCTCACTTTCTCCGTCTGTCACGTCGGGAGGATAACAGTGCTGACCACAGGCAGCTGCTGGGAGGACCACAGGTGGCTGCTGGGAGGATGAGGTTGTAGGAAGTTGAGTGAAGCAACACGGCACCGGCCCAAGCCAGGGCTCCAGGTGGCAGCTCCTGTTTGTTGATTGAACTGCACAGAAATCCTCACTGCTGCCTCCTGCAGTGAATGGTACGAGCCCATTTTTAGGGGGAGGAAACTGAGGCTAAGACTCGCAGCTGGTGGGAATGAAGCTGGGGTCTCATCCCGCTCCTTGGCTCCGGAGCCCTTTACCTCCTCCGCACGGCTGCCTGGCATTACCTTTCTGCACGGTGGGGAAGGCTTGCACTCCGTCCGGCAGGCTGCGTCCTCCGTCCCGCGTGACTGGACAGGAACGGGCACGAGGCAGCCTCACCAGCAGCGCTCACTGATGTCCAGCCCACTGAGCCTGCTGCCTCCCTCAGAAACTGTCCTTCCTTTGCTAGGTGAGCTGTAACCTTCCCACCTTCCTGCGCCAGGCAGCATCTAAAAGCCAGAGCAGGTGGGCAGGAAGCTGGCATGGAAGACACCCGGTCTGTGGCCAAATCCTAAAAGTC